CAATCCTAGATGCATGATCTCAGTGGTTGGTGTCACTTGTATTTTTGACTAGTTTAAGGTATGTTGTAGGAAATAATGTTTGCTAGTAAATTTATTATTGTCAACAAACAAGTCTCATGGATGGTCAAGGATGAAGTTTTGTCAGTGATTAGAATTTTTATTTGACATACTTCTAGTTTGTAAGGTTAGGTTTCTGCCTATGTATCAATATTAGAATAATCCTTAAATTTGCAGAAAATCATCGATCTTCTTTACCAGATTTGGTATAAAGGTATCAGTGCTTACTTAACTCAAACTGTTATTAAAAGTGTGCTATTCATTTTAATACTCGGTACTTTAAGGGTCTGGGTTTGCCCCATGGGAAAGCTCTGGATTTCAGAGCTAGTGCACCAGGTTTGAATCTATGTGATACAACAAAATATTCCCCACACTTTAAGCTCTTGGTGCATTATAAGACTGATCCACCATCTAAGCTAAAGGACTGACTATGTTGGATGCTACTGACTGGTTGCATTTTTATGGCTAGTAGTTCAAAATTAAGGACAGCAGCAGATAACCTTATGCCATAAATACAAAATATGAATACAGTACATTGTTAATTCTATATAAAGCTTTAAGTGCAAGTGGAACATCTTGTAATTTTTGATAGTCCCTATGACAGTACAAATATAGCATGACTTTATCAAAGCATATTGTGCAGATTTCATTTAATTTGTTCTTTTACAGTACCTAGTAATTCACAAGGTTCAAATGACTTTTTTTCTAGTATGGCTTATTTAATACATCAAAAATGAAATAGTTTCGTAATCAGTGGCAAAGCACAGTCAAGTGGTAAGCTTGCAGGACTATGGTTATGAACTTTCATGGTTCGCTCCCTGTTACCACCATGGTTGGGTTATAAGAGTAATGGTCAAATCCCATTATTTAGTCTGATAAGAGTAGTCCAGGAGTTGATGGTATGTAGTGTTGACTAGCTGCTTTCACTTCAAAATTAGGGATGTCTCAAGTTTCTGAACCACTACTTGGAATAAGTATAACTACAGGGGCTGATAAGGCCAAGCAAGTACAAGCTTTTGAAACAAGTTTTACATAATGTAGCCTTTATCTAAGGTAAATAATCCCAATTATGACCTTCCTATAAGTATGTGCAGAACACCTTCACAAAAA